CGGATGATATCCCGGAATATAGTGTCATCACATTTTTCCATCCGTGAATCAATACGTGAGAATATATATATATATATATATATATATATTCCCTCGGAATAAGTTTCTTCTTTGTATCCTCGTTTATTGATGAATCGAGAATTTTGGACTTAGTTGTTTTTTCCAAATATGTCGTGGGATCTCTGGTGACTAGTTTGTATATTGGGTCGTTCAAAATATCCTCCAATTTTGCATTATAATCCGACGTATTCATGACGACAGTGGCATTTCCTTTGTCTGCTGGCATTATTAGAATGTTTTCGTTTTTGTTTAGATTCCTTAAGGCTTGCATTTCTTCTCTGCTTAAGTTTGGTTGCGGTGGTTTTGACTGTCTTAAGACTCTGGCGACATCTTGCCTAATTAACTCCGCATCTTGTTCGTCTATGGTGGAAAGACTTGCTTCGACGTTGGAAACGATCTCTTCGACGGGTACTCTTTTTGGAGCTATTGCGTAGTTAAATCCTTTATTCAGTACGCTGACTTCTGTATCGGAAAGATGGTATGCTGAAATATTATGAACTGTACTGCTTCGGTTTGTATTTGGCACTTGTCCTGATTTTTTGGAATTTGACTGAAGGATTTCTAATTTCTTCCACAGTTTTTTTGACGTGATGTCCTTGTCTTTCTCAGTGCGCCATGATGTTAATAATTCTATGCGGTCCCACAGCAACTGATGGATCTTGTTGCTCAGTTTCAGGTGGAGTCTGAAAAGTTGTAGCTCAGTCTCACTAATTTCGTACCGGGTCCGCCTGATCTGGTCTTGGAGTAGGGCCTTGCTAGCTTTGTCCAGGATAGCTTGTGTCTTTCTGGTTCGTGTGTGATAAGACAACCTTGTAAATGTTGGCAGCAAGTTCTGGTTGCGGCAGCTTTTAAGAAAATTCAAGTTGCACAGCGAAATAACCCTCCTTTGTCTTAGTTTTTCATAACACTTGGTGGCTGTAAAGATCTCCTTCCCGTAAAGGTGTATGATATTCTCACGTATTGATTCACGGATGGAAAAATGTGATGACACTATATTCCGGGATATCATCCGTTCGCTCGTTGAACTCCGACTGGAATCCTGCATCCGACTGGAATACTGCAAATCTTGCATCCGACTGGAATCCTGCAGACGTTTCGCCAAAATCTCACTTGGCATCTTCAATGCTCGCGCTCCGAAAACACTTCGAACACTGGGAGGTCATCGGCGGTGCGTGCGGTATTTATACTCTGCGCCGGAGATGGTAACGGTGCTGCTTGTGCGTGGGGGGAGGTGGCTCCGCCCCCTGAATTGTCGCGTTGTTAATTTCGCCCGATCGTAGTTGCGATGTCCCCGTTGGCTGCTGCGCATCGCTCTGCTGTTTGATTATCGTTCTCCACGTGTTGGATAAATGCAGAGCGTCGTCTCTCGTATTGAGGTGTCCGGACTTTTCTATTTCGATGGCCTCTCGTATAATCCTAGTCCTAAAATCAGGAATATTAGCTATTTGTTTGCAAGTGCCGAAATCAATTTTATGGCCTGTCTGATGTTGGTGCTGAAACAAAGCAGATGTTGTTTGTTTGTTTCTTATGGCTAAACGATGTTCCTCGAGCCTGGCTGAAATCCTTCTGTTGGTCTGTCCCACATACGTCAGGCTGCACGATCCGCATGCTACACTGTATACTCCTTGGTTTTCCAGAGTAATTTTTTGTTTTGGGTTTCTTAGTATTGCTCCGATGGTATGGTCAGGTTTGTATGCCGTTGATATGTCGTGTTTCCGTAATATTCGGCCGATTTTGTCAGTAACCCCCTTGATGTATGGCAGGACAGCGATCGATCTTCGTTGGGTCTCGTCCTGTACTCTCTGCTGCGGCTGTTGTTGTTTACTGATTGCCTTGCTGATGGTGCGCCTTTGGTATCCGTTTTGTTGAAGACAGGTACTAATTTTCTTCAGTTCTTTATCTCTGTTCCTCTCGTTTGTGAGCCTGAAGGACCGAGCAATTAATGTATTTGCCACTGCCTGTATCTGTGATGGGTGGTGATGAGATTTAGCGTTCAGATATCTATTAGTGTGTGTTGGTTTTCTATAGACAGTGTGTTCCAAGTGTCCATCTTCGGTCCTTGTGATGTGCACATCTAAAAAGGGCAGACTGTTATCCTCTTCAAGTTCTATTGTAAATTGAATCCTTGGGTGAATGGAATTCAGATGATCTAGGAATTTCAAAAGCTCCTCCTTGCCAAAAGGCCATACAACAAATACGTCATCAACGTATCTTGTCCATAGTTTTGGCTTCAGATTTGCCTTCTCTGTTGCTTTCTTTTCGAAGTAAATCATGAAGAGGTTGGCAATCACAGGTGAGAGAGATGATCCCATTGCTGCTCCATCTATTTGTCGGTAAATTTTCCCGTTGTGCATAAAGTAAGCGTTTTTCAGGCAATGTCTTGACAGATCCATTATGTATGGCGGAAGATCTTCGTTTTCTTCTATAAGCAAGAGTGCCTCTTCTACTGGAATACTCGGGTAGAGGGATTTGACATCGAAACTTGCCATAATGTCGTCCTTGTCCATCCTGAGAGAACCTAAAATCTGAGTGAAATGTTCTGAGTTTTTAACATAGGAATCTGCCTTTTCCACTATAGGCTGAAGTGCACTGGCCAGATGTTTTTCCAGCTTGCATAATGGTGAGTTAAAGGCGCTTACGATTGGACGCAGGGGAACCCCGTCCTTATGGATCTTTGGGAGCCCGTAGAATTTTGGGCAACGACTCGATTTTTCCCTCGGAATAAGTTTCTTCTTTGTATCCTCGTTTATTGATGAATCGAGAATTTTGGACTTAGTTGTTTTTTCCAAATATGTCGTGGGATCTCTGGTGACTAGTTTGTATATTGGGTCGTTCAAAATATCCTCCAATTTTGCATTATAATCCGACGTATTCATGACGACAGTGGCATTTCCTTTGTCTGCTGGCATTATTAGAATGTTTTCGTTTTTGTTTAGATTCCTTAAGGCTTGCATTTCTTCTCTGCTTAAGTTTGGTTGCGGTGGTTTTGACTGTCTTAAGACTCTGGCGACATCTTGCCTAATTAACTCCGCATCTTGTTCGTCTATGGTGGAAAGACTTGCTTCGACGTTGGAAACGATCTCTTCGACGGGTACTCTTTTTGGAGCTATTGCGTAGTTAAATCCTTTATTCAGAATTTTAATAGAAATAACGCACGATATATCTCCCAAAAAATTCAGCCATATGAATAACGCGAAGAAGTTAAGCAGATAAAATTTTACAAGATTTTTGGGGACAAAGTGTATATTCGGATTGTGGAAAGTAACAGATAGAGAGAATGAAGGTAGATTTATTTAAACGTTTCTCAATCATCCACCCATCGGAGATAATAAATAACATTCGCTAGTTTTTTTTTGCATGTATTGGGTGAAGTTCGGAATAGAAATATATCAATAGTAACAATTTAAATATGGTAATTTTTGGGGATTGTCATACGTCCGCCAGCGTATTAAAAATATAGTTTTAGGGGTTAGAACTTTTTAAGTTTCAAGAAAAAAAAAACTCATGTTGAAATTTTTGTATTCGGAAGCTTCTGTTGTTTATTAATTTATAGACACTGGAAAATATAATAATAAAACATCCTACAGCTGACGATGCGTGTCCTTTTAAACTCGAAAAGAGCTAATTCATCTTAGAAGAGCATGTATTTTTGGTAAAATAGATATTTTTTATATTAAATATTTGACAGATAGATGTAATTCGTCAAGCAGAAACCGAGAAGAAAAGTGACGCTTGTGCTGTTTGCTGACAATCCGACCCTGCTTCGTGTACAAATGCAATGACATTTCGGCCGGGCTATAGGCTACGAAACCTTTCGAACTCGAAAAGGCGCAACTATTTTGAATAGGTACTTAATATTGGGGTAAAAGTAATAGATAAGATTGTTTTACATTAAATATTTGACAGATCGATGTAATTCGTCAAGCAGAATCTGAGAAGAAAAGTGACGGGGGGTGCTGTTTGCTGACAATCCGACCCTGCTTCGTGTACAATTGCATAGCGGGAAGACCTGAAAGATTTCGAAACTGCGTGCGTGCGTGGAAGGCTGCGTTGGGGCGAATTTTGAAAATCTCTGAAAGTTCAACGATTTTGGACAATTGGCCAGACGATATAGACTACGAAACCTTCCGAACTCGAAAAGGACGAACTATTTTAAAGAAAAAAGGTACTTCATTTTTGGTAAAAGTAATAGATAATTTTGTTTTACGCTAAATATTTGACAGATCGATGTAACTCGTCAAGCAGAATCCGAGAAGAAAAATAACGGATGTGCTGTTTGCTGATAGTCCAACCCTGCTTCGTGTACAAATTCATGGCGGGGAGACCTGAAAGATTTCGAAACTGCGTGAGTGGAAGTCTGCGTTGTACAAATTTTGAAAATATCTGAAGGTTTAACGAATTTTGGAGAATTCGACAGAGCTACAGAGTACGAAATCTTTCGAAACAAACACACGTGTCCTGTTGAACTTGAAAAAGACGAAATTATTTTTAAAAAGGTATATTGCTGCTAAATAATAGATTTTTTTTAATTAAAATATTTGACAGACATCTCAGAATTGAATCGGCGAGTTGTGTATTTGCTGACAATCCGAGCCTGCTCCGTTTAGATTTGCATAACGAGGATTCAAAAATTTTCGAAACTGCCCTCACGGAAGGCCTGGTTGAATGAACATTGTATTCGTCGAACCTCTAAAGGTTAACGATTTGGATCATTTTGGAAGATACATATGCCGCGCTTTTCAAAGCGGACAGACGTGCCCTTGTCCAACTTGATAAAGGCGGAATTATTTTAGGAAAGGTATATTATTTGTAAAAAAATATACAATTTTTTAAGTAAAATATTTGACAGACCATGGCAACTAGTAAAGAAGAATCCGAGAATTCAATCGGCGGCTGTATGCTGACTGACAAGAATATAATTGCTGTTAATCCGGCCCTGCTTCGTGTACAAATGTATAGCGGGGAGACATGAACATTTTTCGAAATTGCGGACCTATCCTCTTGGGATTCTACGTTCGACAAATTCTGAAAACGACCACAGAAATATAATTGGTGAGAAAAGAGTTTTTTTTTGTGTGTTAACAGTTAACAATTTTTTATTTTGGAAATAAGGGGTTTCAGTATGTACTGGTATTAGTGAATCAATTTAATGGCCTCAGCATCTCTAAACCCCCATTTTGAGACGCGTTAACGATCCGGATCGAGTTACGTCGCGTAATTATGTCACTTTTTTTAATTAAAAAAAATAAGGAGATGTACCTACCATACTTTAGAAACCCCTACTCCCCTTTGGAGGTGATGAAATAAGTTTTGGTATAAAATATAAGTTTCTCATATTACTTTGATATGATAAGTACAAGTCTTGCATGTTTTTTTTTAAGGAGGTTCAAAGCCGTGCCAGGTGAGCTTTCATATATGAAACAGACCAGTCATGGGGACACGAGATATAGAAAGTTTCAGCGTAGTCGTCGCCACATTGCTGCCAACACTGCATATATAAGGAATCACGAACCATTCAGGTAAAATTTTGAAAACACATATTTATGGCAATATAGAACCTCTCTTTTTTTAACAGGAATATTGAGACTTAGACCAGTATCTTTTTAAGTCGGCACGTGGGTTTAAGAAGACGCAGAAGCTTCAGTCGGGTACCATCGGTAACGTAGGCGATTGATATATTTCCACCACTTTGCTTTGACTGACTAAATGAGAAAACTTGGAGGTAAGCTCTTACGGAATTCCATGGAAATATGTTTAGTAACATATTGGTGCATTACTCTCAGTCAGTTTCACATAAACTTTGCACGTATTATAGAAATGCCACCTACTTTTATTTGTGTTAATATTATTGAAAGTAGTAGCTGGTAGCGACGTCGTAAGCCCAGAGAGTCTCTGTTTTGAACATAATACACAAAATGGGGCGTTCAATAACTCTGATTGCCTAGACTGCATGGCTTTTAGAGTCGGCGTAAACTATGGTCATATACCCGGATCAAATTCAGAACTAGAAAATCGTTGTGTCTCTGCATTAAAAATAGTAGAGTATCGAAACTTTCCATTTTTAGTGCCAAATTGGTTACCCCAGTAAATTCCAACTGTTCAATTTTTTTTTAAATAATTTATGATGTTAGTGGGTTTCATTTCAATTATTTGTTACTTAAATTTTCTGCGTATTAAACCTTAATTAACAATACGCTATTCGTTAACGCAGGTAGATTTAATGACGCTGACTAACCTGATTTTGTCCAGGGGGGCGTAGTACGGTAATTTGTACTGTGATGTTTGGTAGTTTGGCAGTGAGCTCTCATTTATAAAACTGGGGAATGTTTCGTTATCTTCAAATCGTAAACACGTATCATTATAATTATATTTTTAAAATATTGATTAGGACATGTACTGAGTAACTAAATGCTCTAGCAAAAATATTCACACATATTGCGGAAAATGTACAAATTTATATTAGAGAAAATTAAATATTTTTAGAGGTTGGTTTTTCAAAAAGGCGGGGATTTAGTTAAAGAACAGATATAGACTAAAGGGAGCTCTATGAGAAAAGTTAGAATTAAAAAATCGATGTTTTCGTGTCATAGCGAAAGATGAATTATTTTTAAAAATAATACTTGCATTAATTGTTGTCACCATTTGTGAAAAATATGGAAAATATCCTCTAGGTTCGCATACTTTTTTTTATTTTTTTTAAGGTGGCTAACAAAATACACAGACAGAAAAGTTCAGATACTGTTCGTTAATGTAGCGCATAGAAAAAAATTAGAAAAGAGAACGTTTCGTCTCTGGCATACGTAGTTAGTACGGAATATTAATCTGAAGGCTGCAAGATAGTGAAAGAGTGATGCGCTTAAGTGTGGTTCAGAGAGGTTATTTGGGCTGTAGAAGTTTTTCTTTGAACAGGGTTCAAATAGCGTCTCCTAGAGCGTTAGCAGAGAAGAGTATTACAGTATTTAGTATAAGCGTCCAGATTTCAGTGTTGTTGAGATTGCCATAGAAACACACTTTCATGTAGTAGTAGCAGCAGCTTTAAAGTATATGACTTTTTAGTTAAGATGCCTTTCGAGTTTGCTTTATGGGTTGATAGGAAATTAAAGGGTAGATACAGATAAGTTACGAAAAAAAGTATGTACACTATCCTCAAAGATCAGCAATAAATAAAAGGAATTGATGAAATAGTAAAGTTGACTGCGATATCTTAAAATCATTAATAAGATAGATAAATTAATTTTGAAAATATTAAATAATAAAAACAAATAATAAAATAGCAAAGAAAACCAAAATCAGCAATAAGATAGATAAATTAATTTTGTAAATATTAAATAATAAAAATAAAATCATAATAGCAAAGAAAACCTACCACGGCCACATACACATAATATTTTCGACATATGAACTTTTCCCAGATAAATAGTAAAATATTTCACGATACCTTAAAACAGAAGAATGCGGAAATATGTATGAAGTTAACGCACGGTAGATGGCTTAGTAAATTAAAAATGTATATGGTTTCTAATATCCTACTTTATTAATGAAAATTTTAACCATGTTTTTGTTTTGCAGATATTATTGGTGGTGCCTGCCAGCTTCTAGTTCCGAAAAAAGAAATCCAACACTTTTCGTCTTTATTTCCCCTGTCCTTTGTGCGCAATAGTAAAAAGTACAGTTTGTACCCGCGAGGGTAACATTCGCAGAACTATATGTTTTTAAAATAAATGTTTTGGTCAATATTCACTAGGTGGGGTTACCTTAATAAAGAAAATCTTATTCCAAGAGGGAACACTAGTTTACATTCGAACCGCTGGAGGGTGCAGATGGTCACGCGAACAATATGATCAAGTCTCATTGACGCCATTGCTTTTCTTACGGGTGGGAAAATATCTGGGCTCTGATTGGCTTCGCCGCCATCGCAAACTAGAGGAGGGGGATTGATTAAACCCCCATTGGTGCTTGCTTATCCAATGGGGCCCAGTTTCAAGGGATTATGGGTAAAGGGGGAGGAGCTAAGAGGGCCGTGGGGAAGGAGGACACGCCCACAAAAAGGGCGAGGAGTGGGGATGTCCTATCCTGTACTTATAAACTACTTTCATACTCTCTAATGCATTCACAATAATCTACATGTAGTTGTTTGCTCCTGGCAAATGTCCTCTCCCTCAATGCCATCTCTCGAGAATTTCCCAATTTTTCAATGCTCATTTTCAATGGGATTGCAACAACAAATCGACCATCCTGATCACGTCTTGTTTTTGACACAAACAAATTTTCACAATCAACTTCATCCCGTGTCATTCCATCGATCTGACCTCCACCTGGCTCCTCTAGTTCCCAAAACTTGGCCATTTGGTCTTGTACCTCTGTACCTATACTTAGGTTGCACACCGTTTTCTTAGGTTTGACTAGAGATCCTTGTCCACTGATGTAGCCATTCTAACCATCCTAACCAAGTGTTTTGTAAGACAGGTTTGTTTTCCCCTAATCCGATTCTTTCTACTCTTTTGAGTTTCCAGAACACACCTGCACCAATTAACATATCCACTTCATCAGGCAAATGAAATTCACTGTTTGCTAGACAAATATTTCCTGGAATGTTTATTGGCCCTAACTCAATTTCACACAAAGGAATCTCGTCATTAATTTTCGGAATGATTAAACAACTTTTCTACTTCACACCGTTTCGAAATCTTTTCAGTGTTTTGACCCATCCCAACCACACACACATTTGCCTCCCTTGTTTTTAACTGAAGTTTGTCACACATTTTTTCAGTGATAAAAAAATTGCTCATTGAAGCTGAATCCAACAAAACCTTGCAATGATGAAAATTTCCACTGAAATCTTTTATTTTAACAATCGCTGTAGAAAGTAACACCTGTCCTTGAGTCCCACAATTTCTACTCGATAGCGCCACAGAGGTTTTACTTCCTTCATTTGAAGACGCTTCTACAACTTTTTGTACGTCAGCAATTGCGGCACTTTCAACAATGCCCTGTTCAGTTTGGCGTTGGTTATTAAAATGTAATAGAACATTATGACGTAAACCACACTGCGAACATTTTTTCCCGTGACAATTAAAACTAAAATGCTTGTTCGAAAAACAACACATGCATTTCGTTTTATTTTCCCAATTCTCTGGCTGGTTGTCAACTCCAAAAATTTCTTACACTCACTAATGTCATGACCGCTTTTACAAATAACACATTTGCTGTTTTCAACCCCAGCAACAAAAACCTTTTGTTTCTGCCCGGTAAAATTTTCTTTCAATTTTGTCCGGGAATTGTTTTCCAAGGTCTCTAACAAGTCTGCGCGGCTTTTTAGAAATTATTTAAAATCTTTTAAAGCAGGCATCTCTGTTTTTATTTTGAAAATCAAGTTTAGTGCCAAAATGATACAAAATTATCGTGTCCCAAAATTTAACAGGTTCTGCAAAATTTTCCAAGGCTCATAAGTTCCTATCTACGTTATCAATTAAATTTCTCAAACTTGAAGAAGATTCATATTTTATGGGCTGTATGTCGTAAATCCCCGTAATATGATTCTGCACCAACATACGCTTGTTGTCATGTCTTTGGCACAAAATGTCCCACGCGATCTCATAATTTGAACCGCTAAATTCGAACGATTGAATTACCTCTTTTGCTGGAGCCTCAAGTGACGCACGGAAATAGTGAAACTTTTGAATTTCGCCAATCGACTTATTCTTGTGAATTAAACTATCAAACGTGTCTCTAAATTCCAACCACTTTGAGTAGTTTCCAGCAAACGTTGGTAAGTTTATTAAACGTAATCGTACACTCATCGTTTCATTCGAATTTGGCCGTAAATTTTCCTGAAAAATGACAGAGTTGGAATCCGAATGCGTAATATTTTGCAAACACTCATTTTTGTTGTTCGTATCATTAAAATGACCCAAAATATTTTTTGACTTTGCGACAATATTGTAAAATTCTGTTTGGAAAACTTCCCTCTCATTAAATTGACTCTCTAAATCATTTTCCGAACATAATACCTCAATTTCACTTTGATATTATTCAAAAATATCTAATAACTCGATTATTTTCTCTGTTCTAATTTGCAATTGCATAAACACAATTGCATTTTCTGAAGATGCGCTTTCACTTTGCACATTGAAATTAGTTAAATACGTTTTAAATTGAGGTAAGCTCTCTTTTACACTAGCTCGCTTTCTAATTAATTGGTTTAATTGCTCAGCCATTTTGCTGCTTTTTGACAGACACAATAGAGACCACATACTACAAAATCCAACAATCTGTAATTCGCAATTGCCTCGTTTTTCTCTTTTGCGGAACATTGTATAATTTTCGCAAATGAAAACTCTCCACTCGATGGATCACAATCCCGTTCGATGGACCACTAAGTTTATTCCATAATACAAGCGTTTCCTCAATCACTTAATATTTATTGATTTTTTTCTATACATGGACTGTAGTCTCACATTGCGGCGACGTCGCGACCCATGCCGTAATTATCTAGCCCGTAACGCTACAAAATTGTTACTGGTCTAGCAAAAACGTAGACTTTGCCGGTTTGGCGTGCAACGCCCTGTTGTCATATTGACTGAAATGTTCGGCATGTTTAAGATAAACAAAATGACAAAGCAATTTACATAATTTTGAACTCAACATAGTTCAAATAAGCAAAAAACGA